TCCCCATGATGGCTGCTCTTGTGTGGACTGGAGGGCTCTCCTGTTTCCTCCAGATCGTCATGCATGTGCTCTGCACCTACCTGGACTCCCGATTGCCCCCTCACCCCAAGTACCCTGACGGCAAGACCTTCACCTCCCAGCACTTCACGCAGACCCCTGACAAGCCAGGTGAATGTGGCAGATTTTGGGTCTTCATCTTAGAAGCTTCTCGTTCACTGACTTGAGTTTGTTGAATAAGGAATTCTGGGTAAAAATAAGTCTCATTTTGGAGCCTCGTCACTGACATGGTCCTGTTCGATCTGTTTGTGGTGAACAGATACATCAAATGAGAATCTGCTGTGTATCCATCAGAGCAGCATCAACCCACCACACTACCAGCTCATCTACCAGGGGCATGTCTACAGCCTCCCTAAGGTGAGGGCCATTCTCTGCTGCCCTCTTCTGGTCATGCATGGCAGCCCACATACGTGCACAGTCTGCTTGCAGTGCTCATGCGAGGTCTGCATGTGTACGTGTGCCTGCCCGTCTGTCTGTATATCATTGAGCCCGTCTGTCTGTCTGTCTGTATATCATTGTGCCCGTCTGTCTGTCTGTATATCATTGTGCCCGTCTGTCTGTCTGTATATCATTGTGCCCGTCTGCGGGGGTGGTGATATGCTTTTCCCTTCATGCTTATGTGAGGTCTCCAGTGTGTTCAATTCACGTCTGGTTGTGCATTTTCACAAGATTTATCTCAAAGCGCTTTACATTATTCCCACCCAAAGCCCCCAATGAGCAGCCAGAGGTGACAGTGGCGAGGAGAAACTCCCTAGAAGGAAGAAACCTAGGGAGGAAACGGACTCAGAGGGGGAGCCCATCCTCCAGGGGGCGACAGAGGAAGTCAAATGTACAAAATCCTAATTTATACCCAAATCAAATTGGCCTGAAGGCCAATAGGATGTTGGGGTATATCTCCAGGTGTGTGGAGTTTAAGTCAAGGGAGCTAATGCTAAGATTATTCCTTGGTGAGACCTCACCTAGAATATTGTGTGCAGGTTTGGTCACCATATCTTAAAAAGGACATTGCGGCCTTAGAAAAGGTGCAGCGTAGGGCCACAAGAATGATTCCTGGTCTTAGAGGAATGTCATACGAGGAGAGGTTAGTTGAGCTAAATCTGTTCAGCCTCAAGCAAAGGAGACTGAGGGGGGACATGATCCAGGTCTATAAGATTCTAACAGGTTTGGATGCTGTTCAACCGAATAGTTACTTCAGCATTAGTTCAAATACAAGAACTCGTGGCCATAGGTGGAAATTAGCGGGAGAACATTTCAAACTGGATTTAAGGAAGCACTTCTTTACACAGCGTGTAGTCAGAGTATGGAATAGTCTTCCTGATAACGTAGTGCAAGCTGAATCCTTGGGTTCCTTTAAATCAGAGCTAGATAAGATTTTAACAACTCTGAGCTATTAGTTAAGTTCTCTCCAAGCGAGCTCGATGGGCCGAATGGCCTCCTCTCGTTTGTATAGTTTTTATGTTCTAAATTTTAACATTTTAGTCTCAACGTGGGGGGCAGGCAGGTGATGACTGGTGCTGCTTCAGATGGCAAGACAAACAGTGGTACAGCAGCAGGGCATTCAGGGAAGCGGGTCGCGGGCGGGTAGGGGGTCGCGGGCGGGTAGGGGGTCGAGGGCGGGATATCTTGATAATTTGGTGTCTCCAGGCAGCACAGCCCAGGAGGGGTAGGGGAAATAAAATGTGCAATTAGCACTAGAGACAGGAGACATACCTGGGCGTCCAACAGGTGGCTGCCCTTCGCAGACAGCTTGTTCTACAAAGAGCAAGTTGAGGGAGGCGTAAAAAGAATGTATGTAAGCTCCAGCAGATATGGCAGCATAAGTAGGAGGGAGAGGCAGGTGGGGAGTCCCTGAAATGTCAGCACTCCAATTCCACAAGGGGGGTGTGAAGCTAGAGTGACAGACTGATGGGTCAGTTCATCCAAAGCCAATGGCACCGACCCCCAACCAGCTCTACACCTCACACTATAGGTCTAACTGGGAGTGAGGAGTTAGCTAGAGCTAGAACTAGAGTCCCTATAAGATAGACGAAACAAGTGTGTTTTTAGTCTGGACTTGACTATTGAGAGTGAACCTAAATCCCACACATCCAGTGGAAGATTATTCCACAGCTGAGGAGCTCTCTAAGAGAAAGCTCTGCAGCCTGCCATAGCTCTTTCTACCCTGGGTACTAACAGATATCCTACTCCTTGAGATCGAAGAAAGTGAGGATGGTTGTATGAGGGCCAGCAGATTATGAAGGTATTCTGGTGCAAGGCCATTCAGTGTTTTATAAGTTAATAGCAGTATTTTGTAGTCAATCTGAGTCTTAATTGGAAGCCAATTATGGGAACATAGAACAGGGCTAATATGATCACATTTTTGAGTGTTTGTAAGAACTCAGGCTGCTGCATTTTGTACTAGCTAAAGTTTATGTAAGGATCCAGATGGGCAACCAGAAAGGAGGGCATTACAGTAGTCCAGTCTGGAAGCTATAAAGGCATGTATTTTTTTTTGCATCATGAAAGGAGAGCATCTTCTGAAGTTTGGCTTTGTTCCATAGATGGTAGAACAGTGCTAGTGATACTACTTATGTGAGCATCAAAACATAGATCTGAATCAACCAGGATTCCAAGATCTGACCACTGTTAGGTTGGGTAGGGAGACCAGGTTGAGGTTGTCAAACTTATCTTGAGCAGCCTTAGGACCAACTAGCAATACATCTTTTTTTTCCAGTGTTTAACATAAGGGCATTTATAGCCATCCAACACCTGACGTCAAGTAGAGTCTACTGTCAGGGGCAGTGGTGGCCTGACTGTTAGGGAAGCGCGCTTCTGATTGAGGATTCAAACCAGCAGCCTTTCAATCAGGTACCACTGCCAGGTACCCTGAGCAAGGCACTGGCCCCAGGCACTGGCCCCAGGCACCTCATGATGTGACATAGGGTTAAATGCAGAGGACACATTTCATTGTGTAGTGTGGTGTGTCAATAATGACAACTAATCCCTTTCACTTCTCACCCAGAGAGCTGAGAAGCATCATCTGGCTTAAAATGTACAGTTTTATATATCATCAGTATGACAATGAATCCCAACACCATGATTTCTGATAATGTTACCAAGTGGTAGCATCTATAACGTGAACAGTAGCGGATCCAGCACTGATCCCTGTGGGACACCATGTTTGATTTTAGTGGGCTTCGAAGACTGTTAATGTGAACAAACTGATAATGATGTCTCTGTCTGTGTGTATATTTGTGTGTCTGGGTCTGTGTGTGACTGTCTCTCTGTGTCATTGTGCCTTTCAGCAGGGGTGGTGACATGCTTTTCACTTCGTGTCCATGTGACTTTGTTCACAGGGGAGAAACAACATGTTCCACACTGTACTCATGTTCCTCTTCGTCATCAAGACCAAAGAGTCGGGCATGCTGGGGTAGGTGGTCGCCATGGAAATGAAAAAAGCAAGCGGAACACCGCTCCAAATGAGCAGAGACTAACAGGTCTTCTCTTCCCTCAGGAGAGTCAGTCTGGGCCTGTCTGGAGTGAACATCCTGTGGATATTTGGAGACTAATGTACGTTGCTCTAATGGAGATTAACAGAACATGCATGTGACCTCTTGACTGGAATGGCAGCCAAATTTGACTTGAAAATGTTCATCCTCTGTTTTGGTGCCAGTGGGTACCACTAAAGTGACTCGAAGATTATTTCAGATTCCAGATTCACACCAAGGGCCCTTGTGGAGCTGCACCTCCAGGACCTGGACACAGATTCAGCCATTTATCATACAAATCGTCCTGTTTCTTGCACAGCTCTTCAGTATTTTTATTTTTGAAGATGTTTTAGCCTTTGGATTTGACTCTTTTAGTGTAAATAAACCTTAGTCTCTCACGCTTTAGTATGTTTGTTTGAGTGCTGTATATTGACTGCTTGGCGGGTGTGATGTCACTTCCTGTGGATGTGTGTTTTACAGGTAATGTGGTGCTTTCCTAATGTGTTGGTGTGAATTACGTTGTGTAAATGCTATTTTCAGTCTCTCTGTTTCTCACCATTAGAACTTGGCTTCTTCCCGCTAGCCTCTCTTGTTTGACTTTCCCGCTGCGCGTTGCCATAGTGCTCAGCTGGGCTTTTAGCATGAGGTATCTTCAGCTATTTTTATCTTCTTAATTCAAAAGTTACATTCATTCACTGTATGAAGTTTACATTTTGCTTATCTATGCAGCGCCAGGTTACTATGAGGTAAAAAGGATAATTGCTCTCTAGGTCTACTGAATGCGCCAAGGAGTAAAAATGTGGACACTACTTTTCCATGAATTCATAATTTCATGCATGACCAAAAGGCATGCTCTCATTTCCTGTTCATTTTTTTAAAAAAGCCTTTGTGAAGTTCTGGGGTTTCATAAATTATTTTATTAAAGCTGTGTTTTGGGAGAAGGTGGGGAAAAGTAATGTTTTAATGTCCAGAAATGTCTTAATTTACGTCTTTGCTCAGTATTTTTCAAACCAATTAGCGTAACTGCATAGGCGCCTGGGGTTATTGTACTTGGTACTCATGTTTTAATGTCTTCCACTGGGTGGCAGTATAACATTACTACCGAAGGCAGCGTCGGACCGTAGCTGTCTGAGGATTCAGGTGCATTATATGTACGCATACATAACTCAGTCGTTGTATAGAAATCCTTTTGCTAATAGAGGTTTCTTAGTTTCAGTTTAGTTACAAGACGTTTAGATGAACCTGCAGCACGCAGGGCTGCCTCAAGGTCCAGTAGCCAAAAGCCATACATTAACGACCGGTAACATCAAAGAAGTCCAAATAAATGCAGAATTGAAACAAAAGTTGGATTATTTTGCTATCGCCCTTCTCTCAATGATTAACAATGTAATTTGGGGTTGCGTATAGAATATTTTTCAGTTGTGGGTGAACTATATAACATATTACAGCTCAAGTTAACCATGCATCATTCGTTAAAGCTTGATAAAGCACCGTTAACGGATTAAAATGTAATTTAAAATCAGAATAATCGAAATATGCTTAATCTGACAATTTGTGCAGAATTAGATTAGGTTGAAGTTTGGCAGTGAATTGGATATGTAGTCGAATTAGAAGCGGCACTTCGTAAGTCTGCTAGTCACGTACAGCAGGTGATAGTACCTCCCCAACTGCGAAGGTAAACAGCGATGAGCTGTGTACGTCAGTGGCTCAACAAACTGCATTTACCAGAATTCCCTAGAACAAATATTTGGCGGGCGGGGGTGTGAGGGAACTGAATTTTTATCTGTATAAATACCCGATTGTATATACATATAACTTGCATTGATTCCACGTACATCCTAGTGAATTATTATGCAATGTAAAATGGCGCATAGTTGACAGAGTTGTAGAATGTACCATGTGTCATAGCTGTAGCTCACGTTTATAATATGGACTACATCTACCACAATCCTTTGCCTCTGCGTCATCCTTCACAACTGTGTTCTGTATTCGTTCATACGTTTGTGTTGGGGGGAAAAGGACTTCGAGTAACTACAGCGATGTCAGTCCAGGTTGTATCAGCGAAAATGGCCGAGGCGGACCTGCAAGCCAGTTCCAGCAAAGAGCTCAAAGCTGTACCTCCGGGAATGCCCAAGTCGGAGGAGAAAAAGGTGCTTAAAAACGAGCCTAAGGCTGCAGCTGCTACCTCACCGGTGGGTCCGTCGACGGAGGTTATAGCGAAAGGGGACCCCAGCCATTCTCCGACCCCCAGTCCAGACCTCCCGAAGATGCAGGCATCGGCGATGAGGCGAACGGACGGACGACAAAACGGAGAGTCCCTCCTGAACAGCGACGGCACCGTAGCCGAAGCTCCTAAGACGAAGAAGGTAATGCCGCTCAAACGGCGCCAGCCTGCCCCGGTTATTACTGTTATGTTGCTGGCTCCCTGCACGTCAGGTTATTACGTGACCTGCGGGCAAAAAAAATACATTATAATCCACACTATAACTCAGTATATACATGTACACTTCGGATTTTTTCCCGGCTCTTGAGAGCAATCCAGTTGAGCAGATGGCGATCAATATGTGGTGCGATAAGCTGTTACTACAAGCTGGCTAGGGGAGTGATGTTCCCGGGGACCGCAGTGCGCCGCCCGGCCGATGCTCTCCGGCAATCGCGCGCTGTTTCTGCCTTCGCATCGCTATGTCCCATTTTAAGTCACTTCGTCAGGCAGTCATTACCAACTTAACGTTAATGCTCTAAATATTTAGTCAGATCCAGCTGTCCACCAACCCCCAGCCCATATACCGTGCAACCTGTTATCTGTTAGTGATTTTCCAACACCTGAACCCGTAATTGCATGCAAACTGTGGCAACTACTCTGATTTATGCAGAGGTTATTATGTGCATCTTAACTACGTTTGACGATGACCTTTTCCACTGCCATCTGAGGCCAAGGAAAAAGTGCAAATGCAGATGAAGACGTCTTTGGGCCTTATCTTTCAGGTCTGTTTTCACAGAGGAGTTGTAGCGTTTCACTCAGACCAAGTGACATTTTGATTGGAGAATATAACTTAAAAGCATATTTACTTAGCAGATCCGTTTCTTGATCCTGCAAAGAGAAAAAATGTGCAAGAAATCTGTGCAAAGAACAATTACAGTAGCTGGAGTTATCTTCTCCACTATAGAAATATTTCTTAGAACCTTGGATCCCACTGCTCATCTCAAGTTTCTCATTAAACATAAACCCATAGATGCGATATTGTGTTAAGCCCAGGTAGTTTTGACGTGTGAAATTCCAGTGAAATGTAAATGAAGATGGGATGCCCAGCAGATTTCATATTTGTCTGCATAATTATGGTTTGTTCTCTAATTATGTTTTATGTATCACAAGTTCAGTAGATCATGATGGAAATGTGTGTTACAAATGAACGCCAGTATGCAAGTACTATAAGGCATTGTAAAAATGTCCTACAAATTGGCCGTTACATTTCATCAGTGTGCATGACAGATATCCTGAGTGTTGTCAATGCAAGATGAGACACGATGAGTCTGACTACATCATCCATCACATACTGAGGGATATGTTGGTGAATAGGGGAAACCTCACTAGGCTTAATCTACCTTCAGGAGTTCTTGTGTGCGTCAGTATTCTATCTAGCTAGTCTCGCCTTCCTGTCAAGCATGAACGTTTTTGTGATTACAACTAGGTGCATAAGGAGCACTGAGCTGCTTATGTGAGCTTTTATCTGGGAGGACTCGCAGAATTCTGACTCCAGTATCTCTGAAGAGAATTGACTGTCCTTCTTATGGCTGACGACCCAGGCTGCTGCGTGAATGTTATCATCATGGTTCGCCACAGCTCTGATAGGCCAGTAGGAAGCCATTTATAAGATCAAAGCTCAAGGTCACCTTTCACAATAAGAGCAGTTTTCTCGATGGGATGTTTTTCTTGGAATACTTAGACTTTGCCTGGACCTTACAGGTGCGACAGTTAACGAATGGCATCTCCAGTTAAAACATCAGGACTGAATACGCATCAAACAGGATCCCAGTGCTGTCCATTCACTTCATGTGAGCAGTGACGTGTATTGAAAGCATCAGATCACAACCGTGAGGAAGAAACTCTGTGTAATTGCATAAAGTTAATTGAAAATTCATCATTATTATTATTCCTTTATCTCCAATACATGGAATTATACATCATCTCATTTATTAACTATCCTAAGATGTGCATTTTATCTGAAGAGTTGTGTGTGTGTGTGTGTGTGTGTGTGTGTGTGTGTGTGTCTCTGTATCTATCTCTCTGTTTCTGTTTTTTGTGTGTGTGGGTTTGTGTGAGTGTCTGTGTGTGGGTTTGTGTGTGTGGGTCTGTTTGTGTGTGTGTCTGTGTGTAGGTTTATATGTGTCTGTGGGTTTGTATGTGTCTGTGTGGGTTTTTATGTGTGTGTGTGTGTCTGGGTTTTTATGTGTGTGTGTGTGTCTGTGTGGGTTTTTATGTGTGTGTGTGTGTCTGTGTGGGTTTTTATGTGTGTGTGTGTGTCTGTGGGTTTTTGTGTGTGTCTGTGGGTTTTTGTGTGTGTGTGTGTGTGTGTCTGTGGGTTTTTGTGTGTGTGTGTGTCTGTGGGTTTTTATGTGTGTGTGTCTGTGGGTTTTTATGTGTGTGTGTGTCTGTGTGGGTTTTTATGTGTGTATGTGTGTCTGTGTGGGTTTTTATGTGTGTATGTGTGTCTGTGTGGGTTTTTATGTGTGTGTGTGTGTCTGTGTGGGTTTTT